GTACAACAAGCTCCCCTCTCCCAGGATATCCACGAAACACCATGCAAACATTTTCCCCCTTCCCAAAAGATCCACGCAACACCACACATATACATTCTCCCCCAGCGGACTCTCGTATATCACCACAACGCACGCTAGAACGAATTCCCCTCTCCCAATATACCAATACCACAACACCCCGACAACGCAGTCCCCCTGCCCGATGTATCCACACTACACCACGTTAAACAAGTGCCCCCCTCATTGGGCTTTCGTAGAGTACTTCAACGCAACCTACAGTAAGTCCCCTCTTCCAGGATACCCACGGAACACCATTCGAACATATTCCCCCTTTCCCCAGATATCCACGCAGCACCACTCAAACATATTCCCCAAATGGGCTTTCGTATATCGGTACAACGGACGTTTCAAAACGTGCAGTTCTCCTTGGATACCAACGACACACTCGGTGAACAAATTCCCCCTGCAAAAATGTTTCCACAGAGCACCACGCAAACAGGTTCCCCCAACCGGACTTTCATGAATCACTACAACGATCGCTACAACAAATTCCCCACCCCCAGGATACCCACCAAAAAAAACATACGAAAAACAATATGCACCACAGGATGTCCACGCAGCACCACACAAACAAATTCCCCCCAACCACACTTCCGTATATCACTGCAACGCACGCTACATCAACTTCCCGTTTCCCAGGATACCCACCGAAAACCCAACCACACAAAACCGCTCCCCATGATGCCCACGCAGCACCACACAAACATATTCCCCCAACCAGACTTCCCACATCAGTACAACGCACGCTACGCCAAGTCCCACTCTCCTTGCGCACCCACGAAACATCGCGCGAACAGGCTCCCCCTTCCCAGGATATCCACTCAGCACCATACAAACAGAGTCCCCCAACCGGACCTTTTTGTATAACTACAAAACACGCTACAAAAAAATCCCCATTCCCAAAAGACCGACGGAACACCGCGCGATCAGCTTCCCCCTTGCCAGGATACCCGCGCAGCACTACACAAACAAACTCCCCAACCGGACTCTTGTATATAACTACGACGCACGCTACAACAAGTTCCCCTCCCCCAAGATACCCACGAAACGCAGCGCGAACAAATGCTCCCTTCCACGGATATCCACGCAGCACCACAACAACAGGTTCCCCCAGCCAGACTTTAAGACAGAACTACAACGCACACTACAACAGGTCCCAAGTTCCCGGCATACCCACGCAACACCACGCGAAAAGTTTCCCACTTTCCGTGATGTCAGCGCAACACCACACAAACACGTTCTACGCATATCAACGCACGCCACACCAACTTCCCCTCCCCCAAGATACCCACGAAACACCACGTGAACATATTCCCGGAACCGGACTTTCCTATATTACTACACCGCACGCTAAAACTGGTTCCCCTTTCCCAGGACACTATGGACACCTCGCGCGAACAAGTTCCCCCTTTCTCAGGATATCCACGCAACACTACACAAACATATTCCCCCATCCGAACGTTCGGATGTCACTGCAACCCACGCTACAACTAGTGCCCCCCTCCTCGGGTATCCACGAAACATCACGCGAACAGATCCCCCCTTCCCTTGGATATCCGCGCGGCACCTCGCAAACATCTTCCACCAACGAAGCTTTCGTGTCTCACCACATCGGAACCTACAGCAAATTCCCTTCTCCCAGAGTACCAGCGAAACACGACGCGACCATACTCGCCCTGGCCAAGATGTTCACACAGACCCACACCGACGTACTCCCAAAACCACACTCTCATATTTTCACGGAAAACACGCTACAACACTTGCCCCCCTCCCGGCACACCCACGGCACACCACGCGAACATATTCCCCCTTTCCACCGAGATCGACGCAGCACCACACAAACATATTCCCCCAACAAGACTTTCGTGTATCACTACAACGCACGCTACAACAATTTCGCATGTCCCTGGATACCATCGAAACACCACGCGAACATACTCCCCCTCGCCAAGATGCTCCCACAGCCCCGCACTCACATCTTCCCTTACACGGACTTTCAAATGTCCACATAAAACATGCCACAGAGGCCGCGCCGGCCCCTCACTCTTATCCGCAACTGCCGTCAAGGGCAGCAAACACATACACCACTAATTCGGAAATCGAGAGCCGAAAGCGCAGAAAGAATAAACAATGAATTGTAAATTGCAAACCGACAACTCGACTGCGCATAAGACATAGGAAGAAACCGGACATTGCCACGAACCCCGACCTTGGAGGACAAGTGGGCGTGACTTGCGAGAAAACAGAACAGCAAAGAAGAGGATGCCTACAGCGCGCATTACGTTGGTTCCCGCGTTGTCAGTTTGACGCTGTGAGGGTTTGTCGAGGCGCCTCCAGCCGCCCCGGGGCTTTGTCGGGGCAGTCCCAGTGCTCTCTTGGGCGTTTCTGGGGGTTTGCTGGAAGCCTCTCGAAGCCTCTTGGGGCCTCTTGGGGGCCTGTTGGGGGTCTCCTGGGGACCTCTTGGGTTCCTGGGGGGCTTTTGGGCGGGGAGCTCGAAATGTCAGTCCCCGCACCCGGCGGCCATACGTGGAACACATCGTGGCGTCAACGGCCAACATTATTCTAAGATGCTCGCTGCCGTGCGCAGCAATCAAATCAATTAAAGGCCTGGGGAGGGCCAGAGGCCGCTGGCCAACGACCACCATTCCTGTGAGATGCGCACTGACAAGCGAAGAATTGAAGTACACATGTGTGATTGGAAGGGAACATACGAAGTGGTGGTCGTCAACTGCGGGACAGCCCCTCCCGGCCATACGTGGGCCACATCGTGGCGCCAACGACCACCGTTTTTCTTAGATGCCCACTGCCGTGCGAATCTTTCAAAATCCGCCCACTCCAACTTGGGGGGGGATCCGTGTGAGACATTTGGCTCTGCCCCTCAACTCTTCCCGATCCCCTGGGGCCCAAAATGACGTTTTGAAGGGGGCCTTCCCCGGGCCTATGACTTCGTAAACGCTTTACCTGGAGCCTCGGGAGCCTTAAAAGAGCTCGAAACAGCCCAGGAGGGCTCACACACAGCGCCAAGATAATTCGATAGGGCTCTAAAACAGCCCATTGTAATCCCACGACGGTCCGATATGTGTGCGCGATGACCCACGCGGCCCCCAAGACGGCCCAAGAGTGCTCCTAGATGGCCGCCGAGAGAACCAGAAGAGTCCACCATGTTCTAAGACCTATAGGAAACGTACATGTTTCGCTCACTCGTTTTTTTCGTCATGCAAGCGTCCAAGACGGCCCAAGGGACCGCCAAGAGCATTCCAATACGGCTCGTCAGGCCCCTAAGATGGCCCGAAAACGGCCCAAGAGAGCTCGAAGACAGGCCTAGGCGCCTGCCAGACGGCCCGAGAGATCCCCAAGGGGGCCCCAAGCCTCAAGAGGAAGAACACAAAAGATGGCCCCAATTGGCAAGAGGCGCCGAAGAGTCCCAAGCTGCCACGAAGAAGCTCCCCAAATTTTGCTATCGGAGTTCCCCAAAGCAAACTTTGATTGACTCGCGGGCTTACGGAAAACACCTTCGCCACACTCGCTCTGGCCGGGCCCCCCTGGAGGAGGGGAAGGGGCACGAATCCTGACCAATAACATGGTATGCCTCATGCCGATTGCCTCCCCGCTCTGGCTGAGCCTCCTTGGAAGGGCTGGGAGAAACACGAAACCTAGGACATACTATGATATGCAAATGCCCTCGTCGCTCAGTCGGGGCCTCCCTGAAAACGGGAAACGGGAGGAAGACCTCGACAGAGGGGCGCATTATGGGCCCGAATGCATATGAGCCCGAAGTCAGTGCACAGTTTCGAATCCAGTCCATTCCGAGGTGTTTAGAGCTTCTGAGGTGGTCAGGTCACTTTCGCTTGAGACACCGACTCTGACATTAAAGATACTCTGTCCCATGATCATCCGACCGCCTTGGCCGGAGACAGCGTCGCAACTCTGGGTTCCGAGACTCCCTGAGCTGACGTGGTGGGGCCACTTTCGGCTGATACATTTATCGCAACTCTGACGTCGGAAATGCCCTGCCCCAAGGTGGTCCAACCACTGTCGCCTCGGACATCCTCGCAACTCTCGGTTCCGAGGCTTCTCCTCGTCGTCGTCCTCCTCTTCCCCCTCCCCCCCCTCCTCCTCCTCCTCCTCCTCTGTCTCGCCGTCGCGACGGAACAAATAATTACAAAACAAATGGCGAAGACGGTAAAGAGGACAGCGACGACGACGACGACGACGGCCTTCAGGTCGAAGGAGCACTCGCGCAGGAAGATCGCGAACGCGTCGACGGTACGCGTCTCCGCCTCCTCGACCTCGTCGGAATCGAGGAGCACGAAGTGCCGCACAGTTGGCTCTGGGCATTCATTTGTGACCAGCAACGGAGTTCGAAGAACTCGAAGAGCACGAAGTGGCCTACAAATGTCTCCAAGCATTCAATATGTGGCCGGGGATTGGAATTCTGAGAACTCGACGAGCACGAAATTGCCGACAGCTGTCTCTGGGCATTCAAAATGTGGCCCGGGAATGGAGTTCTGGGAACTCGAAGAGCTCGGAATACCGTACAGTTGGCTCCAGGCATTCAAAATGTGGCCCAGGACTGGAGTTCTTGGAACTTGAAGAGCCCGAGGGCCTCTGGACAGCTGTTTTGAAGCGTCTCCGGAGCAGCTTTGGGGCCTCATTTGGGCCTCCTGGGGGCCTCTGGGGGCCTCTAGGGGGCCTCTTGGGCGCTTGTTGAGGCCTCTTGGGGGCTTCTTTTTGTTCTCCCCCCTCCGCTCTGCAGCAATACTCATGTCACCTGAATCTGTATCAAGATTGAACGCCCCAACTGCCATAAAGCAAGTTTGTACGAGCGTACCCGGGGCAACGCAGATCGCAACATGTGGAGGACACACATGAGGAACGGTCTACAAGCTCAACAGGGGTAGCGTCGAACTCGTGTTCAAAACCCACTAGTTGTTGATCAC